CGGACAGGGCAAGATATGACAAAATAATAATTTATAAATTATCAAGGGCTCATGAGGGAGGGCGGAGCAGGGAGGGAGGGGAAAATATGAGGACCTGATGCTGGGGGCGTAAGTGGAGAGCAAATGTTTTGAGAATGATGAGGGCAATGAATGTACAAATGTGCTTTATACAATTGATGTATGTATGGATTGTGAGAAAAGTTGTATGAGCCCGTAATAAAACGACAAAAAAAAAAAAACCCCAAAACTCGTTACCATGGTATGGATGCTGACTCCCAGCCACCTTATACGGCAGACTAGAACTGCCCCTGTGAGTTTGAGACTGTAACGCTTTGCAGGAGTACAAAACCCTGTCTTTGGCTCCATGGGGCACCTGGTGTTTTCAAACTGCTGCTGACTTTTTGGTTAGCAGCCCAATGCCCAAGCACGAGGCCACCAGGGCTCCCTTTGACAGGGGATACTGAGGGCAACATTCTAGAACTGACTGCCAGACTAACCAATGCTTTTTTAGCCAATTTTTTCCCCCCTCTCCTATCCTACCTCTTTCCTTTCCTTGATAACCCCTAACCTTCTACCCCCAACTCTTGGCTAGAATCTTCACTGATGGAGATCACCAGACTTTCCCCCAAGGAGTCAACGGACGGTTCTGACCTCCCAACCTGTCCATTAATTAGCAGGGCCCCTTACATACCCAATAAATGGTACCATTTGTTCGTTTGGTTATTGCCTTGAAATAAGAGCCACAGTTCGAGTTCGAGATTGGGCCTTCTGCTCCTGACCCCCACATTCTCACTGTAACCGTTTGTCAGGTACTGCTCACTCACAGGCACCCTATGTATAACGGGACAAAACATGACCCAAACCTGCACCAGGCTCACACGTTTCTATGAGAATACTGTTTCAGCTGTGTCAATCCATCTTGTCGGGGGTCTTCCACGTCTCTGTGGCCCTCCACCAAGCAGGAGGTCCTTCTCCAGGGACTGGTCTCTCCTGACAACATGTCCTGACGACAAGTATGTGAGATAAAGCATCGCCATCATTACCTCTAAGGATCATTTTGGCTGTACTTCTTCCAAGGCAGATTTGGGTTTTTTTGGCAGTCCATGGTACTTTCAATATTCTTTGCCAGCACCATGATTCAAATGCATGTGTTCTTGTATGGTCTTTCTTATTCAGTGTCCGACAGCTTAATGCCTTATTGTGGGGTACCAGCCCCCACAATCGAAGGGTGCAAAGGGCGGTTGTGTACCAGAGGGGTAAAACTAAACAAACATCAGACAAGATAAGGCATATGAATGCTCACCTCCAGGACGGCCACGATCTCAACAGCCAGGTCCACGCAGAAAGCCGAATACATTTTTGATCACCGCATATATATACAGTCAGGGATGTGCAAGCTCCCCCGATTACATCATAATGGGAAGGGGCTGTACAAGAGGCATACATCAGTCAGAGGGGGACAAGCTAGGGGTATACACACAATCAGAAGAGGCAGCACTAAGGGTACACATGTGACAAGGTAGGTGGAGCCTAGATTCAAGATGGCAGCCTAACCTTGGTCCTCCTTGAGTTGGCTTGACCTTGTCTCTGGGCTCTCCTTCAGGAAAACCATCCACTCTCCTTATCAGCAGGGAGTGGGCCCTACTTAGGGTGGGACAGACTACAGAGACTGATTGCTCTTTCTCTAGATGGCTGATGCCCTCAGGGAGCTAACCTCTAAGCAGCTGACCTCCAAGTGTACAGTCACCCACCGGCATACAATATGGGGGGCAACCTGGGGGAAAACCCTCTGCATCCCACACATTATTCCTCCATTGCTCTAACATTAACATCATGGAATTACCTTTCTAGCTTGTAAGTTTTTGGTGGCAGGAAAATCATCCAAAACTAGTTTCATCCTCTGATACATGAGAGGCACATCGCTGGGATTTGTTGTTTTACTTTTATGGGCTGAGAGTTCCAGTATAATATTTCAGATGGGTGAATTCCCTTCCTGCATGTTTAATCCAAATAAAGTTCTTTTGTTCTAGGCTTACCCATTGGGTAGTAACCCAAGACCAGTCTATATTCCTCAGATCCTGGCGTGTCCAAAAGTAAAGACCCTATAGGACAGAATAGAACAGCCCCTTGTGGGTTTCCCGGACTGAAAACCCGTTAGGGGAGTAGAAACGGGAGAAAGGCTTTCTACTTCCCGTCAAGAGTTAGTCTCAGAAACCCACAGGGACAGTTCTACCCTGTCCTGTAGGGTCACTAAGAGTTGGCATCGATTCTTTGGCAATGAGTTTGGTTTGGTTTTTCTTCCTCAGAACGGCTGGTAACAAGGTCGAATGGCTGACCTTGCAGTTAGCAGCTCAGAAGGTAACCCACTATACCACCAGGGATGGGGGATCCAAATGCCATTAGCTCCGGCTTGATTCATGCTGTAGTTCACGACAAACTTTGTCATAGAACCAAGGCCTGTCCTCCTCCTTCAGCGATCAATGGGCAGCCCACAGCTAGGCTTTTGTTTTTCTGCACACTTGACCTTCTTGCTAAAAAATACATGGAAAAAAGTTATCTCTATGATGGTCAGCAAAGCAGCAGTGTGTTAACCCTCATTGGCTTTCTTAACGAAGCGTACGTCATTGCAGAACTGACAGTCATGGGAAGCCAGCTTGCCAACCCGAAGGACTGACCACTGTGAAAGTCCGTGAAATTATTTGGTGTTCGAGAGTTAAGCGTTACCAATAGGCCGGTGTAACAAAAGGAATTCCAAACTGCTAGCCACCCGAACTTCACTTTCCTCATCAGTTGTACTGAGGCTTGTGGTCTGGGGGGTGGATGGCCTTGAATTGTTTTCTGTGCAGGGGTGGAAAAGGAACCACATTTACCTCGAGGGTAGCTTGCCACCTCAAAATGATAGGTATCATGAGAAAAGGTGTGCCATTCAAAAGTGAGGCTACCAAACTCAACCACAAACCTCGGAGCCTGGCTTTAGAGCCCTCGTGACGCAGCAGCTCTCTCATCTTCGGTCTTAACAATTGTCGGTTTCACTTTTCTGATTGCCTGGCTTGCTCTTCCAGCAGATGGACCCAGAATATTCTGCTAACTTTGGGCAGTGTCCAGGCCACTTTAGGCAGGCAGAGACACTGCTAGGTCCCCCACTCCCTCAGTAAACCAAACCCATTTCTCCAATAGAATTCCAAGAGCTGGTTCTGACTGCTGACATGAAATTGCACTTCTCTGGGGAGATTTAACCTAATAACCTGAACCAACCACCACACAGGGCCTTACAAAGAACCCCTTCTTGTCCTCACTCCCTGATCCAAGCCCACTCTTAACTTCCTTTAATTCCCCACAGCACAGCAAAGAACAAAGCTGGCACATTTAAACAAGGCTTAATCTCAGAACATAAGAAAGAGCAACAATGAGATAACACGGTTAACAAAATGGAGATTACTTATTTCAATGAGTGGTTCCCAACTGCACACTGCTCTCAGACCACTATTCAGGCGGTCTCTGCTCTGGCCGCAAGGTAGTTCTGCCGAGATCCCACCCCACTCTACCACGCGCTTGATCACTGTGTCACTTGCCCTTCTGATCAAGATCTACCTTGTCAGATTTTCCAGAAACGTCTGACCTACTGCTTACAACACAGTTCCGATTGGCTCCCTTGCTGACTTAGCTCAGGCAGTCCCCGATCCTCAAGCCTCCCTGTTCCCCACACAGTGCAGGTAGCAGGTGCTGAGTGACTATCTGGGTCACACTTAAGCCTACGTGAGTAGAAGCAAGTGTGTCATTCAAAGACGACAAAGGGAAGAGGCAATGGAGCATGGGATGTCGCGTGCCTGACACCTCCAGCGTCCTCCCAGGGAGCAGTGCCGGCGTCTGAGGGGTCGCTTAGTGGGCCCATTTTGCACCGCAACTCAATACTCCTACTATTATGCTACTCAACAACACTCCCGGTGGCCTGGAGTCAAAGAATCAAAGTGTGTGTCCACGGGAGAGAGTGCATGCATGCAGAAATGAGTGAAGTATAAAACCTAAAGAGTCAAGGTCAAGAACGTGGGGTTATTTTCTTTTAATTATTTACCAGATTAGAAAAGAAAAAAATAGTGATTGTTTCTCTTCACCCCTGACATTTCATTGTTCACCAAGGTTCGAGCGGCCGAGAAAGGGTGTGGACGGTGATTCATGCTCCTGGTCTGCAGCAGGTGCTTCCACTTGGCCCCCGCACCACCTCACACAGAGGGCAGGTGAAGGGCCCCGGGCAGAGGCACACCTCATGCAGCAAAAAGGCGGCAGTGCAGATGCCAGCTTCTCTTCTTCATGCTGCCAGAGCATTTGGACCCTCTCCTGCCTGTCCCAATTCAACACGGGGAAAGGTTGGACTGGAGGGGCATGGACAGAGGAAGCACCTGGCAGTTAGGGCAGAACACCAACTTCCTCTTCTATTGCACATCCTGGCTCGAAGCCCCTGCCCTGAGCAACAGGCTCCAAAACGACATGGTTTTCAAATTCACACCGGTAACCTGTGGTTTGCCAGGCTCAGGCTCGTGGAGGGGAGGTGTGTCGTTGTGTGGCTTGTTCGGGACTAAATCTATCTACATACTGTATTCCACGATGGGGACATGGGAAAGAGCATGCCTCTTGAAAAAAGCATATGGGATTTGGACATCTTGGGGCCCTGTAGTTACCTGGGCCTCTCTGCACAAGACAGAGCACCACCCCTTCTTCCAGTCAGCAAATCTTACACCTAAGACGGAGGCGGCAGCAGTGTCCATCAACCACTCCTGAGCCCCCCCAATTGCCACAGCTCTGAGCCACTCAGGGTGACCTCTTTTCTGAGTCTTGGAGAATCTCACAAACAGCCCTAGAAAGAAACCTTTCACACTGTTGGTTTCTCCATAAAGCAGCAGCTGTTAAGTCCCCTCAAAGACAACCTTTAAGTGTTGGGTTCTCATTACTCTCGTGACGGTGGGACCAGTGTGGGACAGGAATACAATGATTAACTGACCCCAGAGGCAGAGTACATCCCTCTAGAAAACAGTGGGGGCAGGAGAGAGAGGGCTGATTTTAATTTGGCAAAGCTCCAAGTCTTTCACCTTCGTTGGCTGGAACGTGGAGCTGGTGGGTGAAGACAAACCTAACTGAGCCAATGGCAAGAACTGCAGGCTATGAGAGACGACAGGGCAAACACAGACTGTATAAACTGCAGCACTATCAACATGAACGGCAGGCCACGATGCCAGCTGGGAGAGCGTTGCTTCCAGAAACGCTGTCTGTGCTGTAGTAAGTGGTGGCATCCGGCAACATCACGGCAGTTCTCCTTCCTCTTCTGAATCCGTTCTGAGGGCTTCTCCTTTAAATAATGATGTACACACACGGAAGCTGGGTCTCTCTTTCACACCAGGGTCCTTCACGTGAGGGTCCACAATGGCTTCAGAGAGTCGGTTCCAATTGCCTTTTTGGAGATTTGCTGCTTGGGACCAAACCTGCAAGGAGAAGAATCGACTGGCTATTGCAACAGGAAGACTTGAAGATGGAAGCATCACCTTGCTGACGGGACCGAGCCTACTGTAAGTAACAAACACGCAACTTCCAGACGGGTCGACGGTACCCCAGCAAACGAAGGATGGGCCTGGGTGGGACCCATCACAACAAGGCTAGCCTGAGCCTGGCCCTCCGTCACCCAGGGCCCACGTGTCCACTAGAAACCACAGTGATTCAGCTCCATACCTCCCTCTGATAAGGACAGCTTCTCAAGCTCAGCTTCAAGTTCAGCATCTGAGATCCGAGGGCGAGGCACACTGTTGGTATAAAACGTCTCAGGGAGGCTGTCAGGCAGATCCAGAGGTTCTTTGGTGGTGTCCTGAAGAAGGATGTCCAATTCCTTCTCCAGCTCCTCACTATCAAAATCTGGAGAGGAAAGAGCAGAAGGACGCATGCGCGCTGGGGAGAAAGCGTGCTGAAGAGGCAGCTTCTCAACCGATGCCTGGGCCGCCAGGCAGGGTGCTCCACGGGGTTACTGCCAACAGGGGTGCCCTTCAAGCAGCTACTCTTCTCTGGCCCACAGAGCTAAGTCATCAAGGTCCATTTCACTAACTCCATGGAACTGACCGGGCTCACCCTTGCCCTTCAGGATTTTCCACCGAGAAGCCTTGTGAATAAGGCGCACAGGAGCGCCTTTCCTAGCCCACGGAGGAGGAAATGACAACTCTCTATACCCACTTCTTCGTGGAAACACGCTTCAGAGAAAGAGCAAGAGCCCTGCCTGAACCAGGAATGGCAACTCCATCATCCAACCCATCAGCAGAGCCAGGAACCGAAGCCCTCTTAAAAAAGAAGGAAATGACCAACTCACCTAAGCCGTTGGTTACCCCGCCAGCCAGAGTCTGCGAAACTTCATCCTGGGTATCACAGAGCTGTCAGAGAAAAGAGCAGGGCCCTGAAGTGTGAACGCTCTCTCAGAGCAACACAGTCTTTGGGGCGTTTTGCCCAGGGTTATGAAGCAACACTGCCACAGAGGAGACCAAGGAGAGCTGCACTTTCTCAGGTTAAGATGATAAGTCAAGCACGGCACCATCAAATCTGCCCTCACTCACCTCCTGTAGCCCGTGTCCCTCCCCAGCCCCTTTAGGTACCTCTTGGATCTGATCCACAAGGCTCTCTGCCTTCTCCACTGTGACATCCTTCATGGACAGTTTTAGTGCTCCTACCCCAGCCTGGTAAGCATTAAACACCTAAAGAGAACGAGTCATCATTGGTCAGTGCAAATAATGAGGTTTGAACTGCTGACCTTTTGATTAGTGATCCAATACCAAAGACACAATGGAGGATGAACTGGGGCCACCAGTCAAGAGCTGGAGCAAAGGTGGAGTGGTTACCATCTGGTCTGTTTGGGAGGCATAGATCCGGTCCAGGATGCCTTGAACCGTGTCCAGCTTGGCGTGGAGGGCTTCGATGCGTTTTTCTGTCCTCTGCTTGGCTTTGAGAGACCTCAGCGCCTGTGGGGGTGGGAAATCAGGCCAGGGTTGGCGGGCTCCAGTGAGAACACAGCCCCTGCCAGATGAGGCCATGCCAGGCCTTCTTCACACTCATCTGAAAATATTCAGTGGTACCCTGGCCACCTGCAGGCTGTCCCCCTCGGAGCCGCAAGCAGGCTGCTTTCTGAACCCTTGGGCAGCTGGCGATCAGCTCAGCACAGAGCTAAGTAGCTGGAGGGGAAAAAGAGAACCTACCAGTTGTTTCTTTCCAGCTCGACATGCCCTGCGGGCTTCTTCTCGACACCTACAAACGAAGACAGACCAAAATCATCGTGCCGCACAAGCTGGGTTTTGGGCAGGGACCAAAGGATTCCCGTGAGCAGACTTAATTAAAGTAGTTTGAAATCTATCTGAACGCTAACTCCATGCCACCCAAGAGCAAGAGAAATGATGCTCCCACACCCCTAGAGCAAGCCAGGGTCTGAGCTGGAGCACCTGCTCGTGGCAAGGCCAACGGGCTAAGGATGAGCTTTCTTCAAGCCCCAGGGAGTGTGAGAAGATGGAAACGAGGCACCTTCGAAACAGATGCCCACTGTGGGAGCCGGGCGGCAGGGAACGAACACCTCGTGTCACCAGTAACCTCAGACAGCCCTCCCGTTCTCCAGATGCGGGTCCTCACTTTGGAAAACAAATTCCGTTTTTTGTGTTCCTTTTCATGTGGCTTTTTCATCCCGGGGTCCGGCGTGAAAGTGCATAAAGCAGGTAAAAACCAGACCAACAATCCAAACCCCCTGCCCCGCTCTGTGCCACTGTGGGTATTCTAGGGTTTCTGAACCGGACAACCACCCTTTTCCTTAGAGCCCAGACTCCAGGGCTTTGCCCGCTGTGAGTGCCCACTGTGGCAGATGGACCTCAAGCTGAGGGGTAGACATTACCTCTCCGCTTCTTGGGACAAGGACTCCACTTTGCGCGAGAGAAGCTGTTCGCTCTGCATTAGCTGGTACACCCCAACATCTACGTCGTTGACTGGAGAGACCTTGGCATGTGGCCCCCGGGCAAACTTCACAATCTGGGGGGCAGGAACAAGTTACTGCTGCCCCACCACTATGCTGAGACAAGCCCACACAGCCACGCGGTGGGTCTGCAGACGGAGACAGGACCCGCCGTACCTTTTCTCCATTCTGCTCGAGGACGGTGACCCTCTTCTCTTTCTGCAGCTGCAGCAACACCAAATAGAAGGTCCTCTCATCTGGGCAGGAGCCAGCACAGAGGGTGCTCAGCTCCGACAGGGCCACCACTGGGTGGGAGGAGAGAGGGGAGCTCTGATACAGACGATACACCTCCTCAGCCTTTTCCTGCAGGGAAAGGCAAAAGGTGCTGAGTTAGTTAATTGTGCCAACCTGGCCGATAATCACATGTGGGGCTAATTGAAAGGCGGAGGGATAAATGGGTGGTGAGCCTTGCCTTTCTAGTTCTTGGGTCTCTTGTTTTGTGATGGTTGCACCGGGTGCAGCTGCCTTAACAGTTCCCTGCTTCAGCTTGCAAGATTGACTTCCTACAAGACATCCCCAAGGAGAAGCTACATGGACCTATCCCGATGCAGCCTTGGGTGCTGGAGCAGCCGTGTGGAGACCCCTGCTAGTGCTAAGATGCTTATTTGTTCACTGACTCAGCTTTCCTCCTGCAGTCGGCATCATTGCCTCTGTTCTGTGAGGTGGAGGACTTTGTGGACTGGTGTTGGGTTAATGGGTTAATGTTGGACTTGTGGGCTTGGGCAGCATTGGGTTGGGATGTTTTCGTGATGCACACTTTCTTTACATAAAACTCTCTAGGCGCTTACATAGGCCCAGAGGCCCTGCATCATGGCCCAGAGGGCCCAGAAAGTTTGACCACCATGCTCCACAAACAGGAGCGCAAGGCGAGAGCAGGGGGATGCCACCCTGATGTTCCCTTGGCAGCTAGTCTTCGGTCTGTTTGGTGTTGGTCAAAGGACAAAGGAGCTGTGCTTGTGAAACTTGGCAGGACACGTTGTTATGTTTCGAAAGGAGGTCTGTGAATTACTGGGAGCCACCTCTTGTTGGCACTTTCATCTGGGACTTTGTTTCTGCCTCGTCCTGCCCAGAGCTCCCTGGGAAGGAGCAGCCACGCTGTGTACTGGAATCAGCCGTGAATTGGAGACCTGGCTTCCTGCCAGGCCTGTGTAGCCCTGGGCTGGGTCCCTATCACGCTGGCCCTCAGTAATCCCCTCACAATCTGAAGAGGTCATATGACATGACATCTGAATTCCTTCCAATTCTTGTCTCTTTTTAAGCCACCGGATAATATAGTAAATACAGTACTGTGCCCCAAAGCGTTTCCCAAGGCGGGACAGGATGATTGTGATCATCATAACTAAGTTGGAGCAATCAGCGAGAGTCTTGACATTTCTTGGGGGGAAATGGTTGCTGAGCAGAACTGTGAAAGATAAGTAAAGTCCAGGCGAAGACTGGTAGGCAGTGTCTCAAGAAGAGGGAGGAGCTTGAATCACCAGTGTGTGTGGCTCTCTGAAGAGTGGAGGGGAGAGAATTAAAGCACTATTTTTATGATTAATGTGTCACAACTTACATGTCACCCTGTCTTCTTCCGATGACGGTGGTGAAATATGGCCCTTCTAGCCACACCTGGTCTACGACTCCCACAAAATGTGAGTGGAGCTATGCAAATAAGGTGCGTGTGGCCCTCCAAGGAGACTGGGCAGCTTGTTAATAAAGCAAAAAAGAGATATGGAGCCTTAACAAGGTGATTGGTCAGCTGTGCCATCCCACTAGTCTTAACGGCAATCCCAGAGGCGAGGAAAGGGGGTCTCGGGGCCATCAAAGAGGGCAACAGCTCTGAGGGGAACACACCTTTTAAACCCAAGGTCTCTGCACTGAGAACTTCCTAGGCCCAGGAGACCGAGAGAGCTATGTCAGGGGAGATGGTGCAAGACTGAGAAGCAGCAGCAAGCGTGGCAGACCAGCAGCAGCAGCCGCAGAAGCAGCAGCCTGATGCGAGATGGCAAACACAGCAGCCCAGCACAGCAGGCTTGGCAGGCAACAGCGGGAGAGTTCACCGCCTTCAGCAGGAGACTTCCTGGAGGAGTAGGGCACCCCTGGGCACTTACCAGGAGAGCTAAAGAGCTCTGTTACACTTCATCTGGTAGGTCAGAGGCCAAGCCTGGGCAGGGCCAGGAGCTGAGAGGACGCCTGTCCTGAGGGAGCCAAGAAAAGCCTATCTGGAGAGGATCATGTGGAGCTCACATAGCTGTCCTGCCTGAAACACGAAGCTTTGCCTGCATGCTTCCCAATCTTCATCCTGAATTGTACCCTGCTGATCTTGATACAGAGCTGTAACCTGTCACCGGCCTAAGTCCCCTAACTGTGAATATAATTTGTGACACATCTTGAACCCAGCAAAAAAGCAAGAGTGCCCTGGGACAGAGAGCGCTGGTGCCAATGCTGGTAGGAAGGGTGGAGAAAGGAGATGCTGACCTCCAGCTCATAGGAATCGTCATCAGCTGCGGTGAAGCCGATGGTTTGTCTCCTCTGCCCTCCGGAAGTTAGAGGACCTCTGACATCATGCTATTGTTTTTACAGGTTGTCATCGAAGGGCAATGGTATGACTAGAATAACAAAAGTCTAGTAGAAATTGGAAAAGGATGGATCATAGAGTGTTAGGATTAGGAAAAGCAGGGAGACGATTCAAGTGAACAAATAACAGGTGCTCAATTAGGTAAAATGGACAGAGGAGGAGTAGAGTCACAACAAGACCAGATGTTCAAGTTGGCAGCACATGGCACGTGGGAGCTGGCTAGAGAGGAAAGAAGAGTCGTGGAGCCTTCTACGGCCTGGTTTAAGTGCCCAGCTAGAGAAGATGCTGTTTGTGTCAAGGTTATGGGAGGACGCCCATCCTAGAAGGAACAGACAGATGTTCTATGTTGGACATGTTGCTCCATGAGACCTGAACAACGTGCTACCCACCTCGCAGATCGCAGCTCAGCTCGTCACCACTGCACCCCCGGGCCCCTAGAAGATGCACATGCCAGATCAATGATGACAATGATCAATGATGTCACAAGTCAAGGGACGGTGCCATTTTGATCAGCAAATGGTCAATAGTGTTAAAGGTGGCAGAGGAGTCTCACAGGCTAGAGACTGAACTTGCCTGCCCTGTCAGGAAAGTGGGATGTTTCAACAGACACAATGGCGGAAGCACTCATTTGTCTCTGCCACGCCAGGTGGAAAGCAGGTATCAGGCCAAAGGACTGTAAAAGATCCATATTTGTGCCCCTTCCAAAGAAACATGAGAAAACTGAACTTAAAAATTTACCAAAATGCCACTAATATCAGTTGGACTGTGTGGCAGTTAGATTTTATGCCAATCTGACCCCGTGTGAAAGTGTAGGAGTGAAGTCTAACCTAACAATCTGATCATAGCCTAATGATGTCTCCTTGGGGGCGGGGTCTTTTCTGTCAGAAAGATGTGAAATTCGCTTTCTCTCTCTTGCTCCTTTGCCTTCCTTCTTGCAGGGACTCTGCCTGCCTGCAGGGGCAGCCCCACATGGGAGCCAACTTGCCAGCTGTCACGTTCCCACCCTGCCACGTTCCCACCAACATTGGTCCATGGACCCTGCACCCACTGGCCTGTGGTCTCCCTGCATCTCACTCACCTTTTGGCATCATCAGCCTTCGGCGACCTGAGTCTGAAGAGGGCTCCGGTTAGCAATGGACCCATGGATTTGGGTTGGATGGGGCTGGAATGCTTTCTCAATATAAGATGACCTCTTGCTATTAGGTCTCTCTTATACACAGGTGAGTGCCACTGGTTTGTTTCCCTACACCACCTGCCGAACACCGGCTCTAGGAAGTAAAACTGGCCTAAAGACAAAAACAGTTGCAGCAGAGCATCAACAGGAAACTACAGAAATTCGGACAATGAATGTACAAATGTGCTTTACACAATTGATGTATGTATGGATTGTGATAAGAGTCATATGAGCCCCTAATAAAATGATTAAAAACAAAAAAAATCACTTAAGCTCCAAGAAAAGGCAGAGTTTGTTTTCCTACTACTGTGGCCCTATTGCCCAGCACAGGGCCTAGCTCATGCCGGGAGCATATTTGTTCAATGAATGATAAAATGAATGAATGAAAAAAAAAAACCTACAGAAATTCATACCAGATTCAGGAAAGGAAGTGGAAGAAGGGATATCATTGCTGATATCAGATGGATCTTTGCTGGAAGCAGAGAATACCAGAGAGAATGTGCCTGTGTTTTCTTGACTATGTAAAAACATGAGATTGTATGGATGATAAAAATGAGGAGTAACACTGTGAAGACTGGGAATTCCAGAACCTTAATTGTTCTCATCAAGAACATGCACTTGAACCAAGAAGCCGCTGCTCAAACAGAACAAGACGATACTTACTACATGGGTTACAGCCAGGAAAGGCATCCATCGGGGCTGTGTTCTCTCGTCATACTTACTCAGCCTGTGTGCCACAAAGCAGGGGGGGTAATGAGGAGCTGATACCAAGGGCTCAAGTAGAAAGAAACTGTTTTGAGAATGATGATGGCAACAAATGTACGAATGTGCTTGACACAATGGATGGATGTAGGTATTGTGATAAGAGCTGTTTGAGCCCTCAATAAAATGATTTTTAAAAAAGAAGAAGCTGCATATATGAAGAATTCAGGATCAAGACTGGAGAAATACTCATTAACAACCAGCAATCCGCACATGACACAACCTTGCTTGTTAGAAGAGGACTTGAAGCACTTACTGATGAAGGTCAAAGACTACAGCCTTCAGTATGAATTATGCCTCAATATAATGAAAACTGAAATTTCACAGGGAAACAGAGAAAAGAGTAGCAATGTCAAGAATTTAACTCTACTTGGGCACATAATCAATACCCGTGGAAGCAGCTGTCAAGAAATGAAGTGAAGTACCATGATGGGCAAATCAGGAGCAAAAACCCTCTAAAAGTATTAGAAAGGAATGATGTCATTTGAAGGCCAAGGTGTCCCTGACCCAATCCCTGGTATTTTCTGTTGCTTCGTGTGCATATGAAAACGAGACAATAAATAAGGAAGACCAGCGCACTGGTCCATTTGAATGACTGTGCTGAAGAATCCTGAGTGCACCAAGGAGCCCCGGGAGAACAAACAAACCTGTCTTGGGAAAAGCACGGCCAGAAGACTCCTTAGACACGAGAAGAGTGACGCCTGGTCTCGTGTACTGTGGACATGCCGTCAGTCCTGGAAACGGATGTTCTGCCTGGGCAAGGAGAGGCTCATTGAAAACGAGGAAGACCGTGGACGTGGCCGCAAGCCGGGCTCACACACAGACTGAGGAGAGTCAGAAGCAGGCAGCGTTGTGCTCAGTTGCACCCAGGGTCACAAAAAGTCAGAACCATCTCAGACGACAATCAACAACAGCATCAGAAATAACATGCAGTAGCAGGGTGGCAGCCACACACACATTAATGGTATACAATCACTAATAAATGATGTCGACACAACTGGCTACTCATGTGGAAGAAGTTAAAGCCCCCCCCACACACATATACAAAAACAAATCTTAGAATTGAAATTTAAAACAATTACAAAGTAATCTAAAGGAAACAACATAAAAGAAATATGTGACAATGTTGAAGATGGCTTCCTAAGTAAGAGAGAAATTTAGTAACCATCCGAGTTACTAAAAAATGGTATCTGTGGTCAATGGCAATGGAGGTAGACATCCCTGACCTCCTCTGGCTAACCCATTGCACAAAGCAAGGGTCAGACCAGCCTCCGCATTTCATCCTTCATTACCTACTGACAGCAACTGTTCTTCCCACCCCTTCTGACATCTGTGCTGGGCTTCTATAAGCCACTGCACTGGCCACACAGAGCTCACAGTTCATATTCACGGTGAAGGGGGCCTTTAGGGAAATGAACAGGCTACCACTCGCCAGGCTGAGCAAACGTTAAGGATACAGTCCTTGGTCTCCTCAGCCAAGGCTCTCTCCAATTCTCAGCCAAGTGGTCCCGTGACCTTTGCCTCCATGGCCAGGAAGCTTGCCCACCTGTCACTGTGTCCCACAGTTTCCTGGTCTCAGGCCAGATGAGGAGCAAGCACCCCGCAGTCTCCCCTGAGTCTCCATGCCACAGGCTCTGGTGCATCTGGTCTCTGCAGCCTGTGCCACTGCACAGAGAGAGCCTGGAGTGCTCTTCCAAGGAGAGCTGTGAGACACGCAGGAACAGGTCTGACGGAGGGTGGCTGTCTTTTAGCAGACTATTAAAAAACCCCAAAAAACCATGACGCCCTGCCATCAAGTCCATGCCGACCGATGGCAGAACCGCCCCTATGGGTTTCTGAGACTGTAACTCTTGACAGAGTAGAAAGCCCCGTCTCTCTCCTGAGGAGTGGCCGGTGGTTGAGAACTGCTGATCGTGCAGTTAGCAGCCTACGCACAAACACTGTGCCACCAGAGCTACTGTCTGTGTCAGCTCTTAGACACCGAGGACAGGGTTTAACTAACAGAGACTGTGGGGTTGTCTTTTAGTAGATCACAGCCCCAAGGGAAAAAAAGGGTAGTGTCTCAAGTCACCCCATCTGTTAAAGCCTTGGTTCACATGTCCTACTAAAATCAGGTCTCAATGTCATGCTTTAGAATAGTCAAGAGGATATAGCCATAGGCCAAAATTGTATAACGTAAGGCATTATGGCTAGAAGGGCCATGTTAACTGACTATAACTTAAGTCACCCACTGGCTCTTCTAACCATTAACCAATTTATACTTGAGGAATTCACTTCCTCCCTCTTTCAATTACACCTTCTATAATCACACGTTTTACAATCACCATTAACCCTGTAACAGTCAACACCTGAATCATATCATCCACATCTTCCTCCAGCCTCTCTTCCAGGTGATGGGACGTTTGTTAGAACTATATATTGCTAAGAGTATACATACCCTCTCCAAAGAAAAAAGATGGTGCCTTAAGTCACACCCTCTACTAAGGTAGAGATGCCTCCAGGGAAACGAAGGGTGTGGCTTGGCTCAGCTCTGCGTGACAGGTAAGCAATAATAAGATCTTCAGATAGTGAATGATGGGGGGAGTGCGGAGTGGAGCTCCAAAGCCCATTAGTAGGCCACTGGAGATCCCCTTGCAGGGGGGTCTCGGGGAGGAGATGAGCCAGTCAGGGTGCGATGTAACGACGATGAGAAATACAACTTTCCTCTAGTTCCTAAATGTTTCCTCCCAGCTCCCACTACCATGACTCGAATTCTACCTTGCAAGTCTGGCTAGACCAGAGGATGTACACTGGTACAGATAGGAACTGAAAATCCAGGGAATCCAGGGCGGATAAGCCCTACAGGACCACTGGTGTGAGTGGGAAACAGGGAGGGTAAAGGGAGAATGGGTAGGAAAGAGGGAACCGATTACAAGGAACTATATGTAACCTCCTCCCTGGGGGACAGACAACCGAAAAGTGGGTGAAAGGAGATATCGGACAGGGCAAGATATGACAAAATACCAATTTATAAACTATCAAGGGCTCATGAGGGAGGGGGGAGCGGGGAGGGAGGGGAAAAATGAGGACCTAATGTCGGGGGTTTAAGTGGAGAGAAAATGTTTTGAGAATGATGTACAAATGCGCTTTACACAATTGATGTGTGTATGGATTGCGATAACAGTTGCATGAGCCCCTAATAAAATGTTTAAAAAAAACCCAACAAAACAACAACAACAAATATAAATATCCAATCATTCCTCCCCCCACCCCCCAAAAAAAAGATCTTCAGACAGTACTAAATGCTAACACAGAAATAAAAGAGCAAGTAGCGTGGGAAGTGTATGGGAAGGACGGTGACACTTGGCCTCCTGTGCTGTCAGCAGAGACCCATCCCTGGAGGACATCCTCCTTGGTAAAGTGGTGGGGCAGACCTTTGACAAGATGGACTGACACAGTGGCTGCATCAATAGGTTCACACACAGGAATCATTGTGAGGATGGCGCAGGACCGGGCCACGTTTCAAGCTGTTGTACACAGGGCTGCTATGAATCCGAACCAACTAAACCGCATGGCACCTACAACAACATACACACCCTTCCTCAGCAGTTGTGGTGGGATAATGTGGCTGATGTAAGTCCACAGTGGGTCAGAGTGCATGGGAGTGAAGAGCAGTGACAATGCATGACGTCACACTGAGCAAAGCTTGGCGGAGATGAAAGAGAGAAGTAAGGAGACGAGAGGCCAGGTCCCACAAAGGGGCGATTCTGTGATAGGAAAAATGTAGATGGTTTCAGAGGGAAAAGGATATAGAGATGAAAAGAATGCTAGAATGTACGGATCACGGGGCTCTTGATGGGACAAAGTGGGTTTGCTGGCTAATGTTCTATGCCAACGTGCCCAGGCCATGACTCCCAACAGTGTGTACCCGGTTGTCCTCCAACTTGTGATCTACTGGGTTTACATTTTATGGTATTGTACGTGTTTCGAAACCTAAACCTCTGTAAGTCAGTGAGACAGGCTTACTGATGGGACCAGTTACACCTTGCTCAAGTCCCCACCTTGCTCCAGTAAGGGGAGTTTCTTTGAGGGAGTGGCCTGCAACCAAAACATCTGCATGCTGTGGCCAAGTTCTCTTCTCTGGATCCTGCATGTGGCTCAGTATCATCTGACCTTAAGTTCTTGGGATTTGAGCCTAGAGAATGCCATCTGACCCACCGATCCTGGAATTGGCTAGCTTCCACAGCCCTGCGACTACGAGAAGGACAAACCGATCTTCCTGGGAAGAAGTAAGGCCAGAGTGCTCCTGGGAAGTAAGGATGGCAAGATTTCGACTCACGTACTTTGGCTATATTGTCAGGAGAGACCAGTCCTGGAGAAGAGCATCATGCTTGGTTAAGGGGAGGGGCAGCGAAAAAGAGGAAGGCCCTCAACGAGATAGATGGACACAGTGGCTGCAGCCACGGGCTTGGGCCTAGGAACAATTGTGAGGATGGTGCAGGACCGTGCAGGGTTTCACTCTGTTGAACAGAAGGTTGCTATGGGTTAGAGCCGACTCGACGGCACCTAACAACACACTCGTGTGAACACTACCATTTGACATGATTTGCCCGCTTCTGCAGCCCTGTGAACCAGCGGCGGCCTGTCCTCTGATCTACTGATTGGGGTTGGTTGACCTCGGCAATCATGGGAGTCAAGAGAAGCCTCCCAACATGATGGACTTGGGATTTGGTGGGCATCTCTGAGGGTAGACCAAGTATGATTTGGAGGAGCTGAGGGCATCAGTGAAGGAGGCAATCGGGAAAACAAGTGCCGCGATCTAGGCAGCTACTAACCAGGGGAGTATGAAGGGCTTGGGCTCGAGTGATCTCTTCAAGAGCCAAGAGTGCGGAGAAAGGGAAAGGGTGTGGAAGTAAAGCCGTCAGAGTCAGAAGGGAGAGCTCTGGTCAGAGAGCAGGAAAGCTGCCCCTAGTTTAGGAGATGGCAAAGTCACAAAGTCCTCAGAAATCCCGAGTGATTCTTGTCAGCAAACTGCAGATGGCAAAGCTGTTCCTAAACTTTACTTTCGTAATTCTACACATATTGGAAAATAGTCATCAGTATGTCCTAACCATTCCTGGACAAAGGTTTACCCTTGAAATGTTAATGTCCAACCAGTAAATAATGTTCAGAATATACAATAAAGGAGGTCTACATCACTCAGATAAGCCCAATGATCAGCTGTCAGCATGTAAAACTCATATTCTTTCTCTTATAAGACATAATCGGAATATGGACACCCAGATCTCTCCCTTCTAAGTACTCACCTTAAGCAGGTCCACGGCCACTAGTACTTCTTCAGCAGGAACCTTATTATCCCCCAGCATGTTGGAAAGAGTCCACTTGAGGGGCTTCAGCAGGAAGACCCCAACTCCCCAGGAGATCCAGCTGCTGTCTACACTGGCCATGAAGTCGGACTCCCGCTGCAGCTCCCCTCGACTGCAGGGCGAGAAGGCACGTCAGCGGTGCTGGATGCAGTTTCCCCCCCAGTCCCCACCTCATCCCTTCATCCCGGCAGAGGGCTTTCACTGTCCTCGTCCTGCGGCTGCTGCGTGCCACCCAACGGAGTCCCATCCTAGGGATCCTGCATGACAGAGCGGAACCACCACAGGCTTTCTGCGGCTAGAATTCTACGTCTGCAGACCACCAAGGTCTTCTCTCCTAAGGAGCTGTGGGTGCATTCCAATATGCTCACCTGTCTGCTAGCAGCAGTGCTTAACCATCGCACCACCAAGGCTCCTGCTCATCACCCTAACCACCACGTGCCAGGTGTCTGCTGTGTGCCTCCCTGTGCAGCGCTGCTGAGACTCCAGCTCTAGGCCTCACAAGAAGTCTACAGTGTACATGGTGTTACTGCATTTGCATTACTGCAAACAATCGAGAGCCTTAACGTGTGCTTCTTCAAACCTGAACTAGGATCTGTCTGGCTCGAGTGTTTGAGCTCCAGTAAAATGAGAGAGGCAAGGGAGGGGGCAGGACCTATGCTGAGCTTTCCTTTTACACTTGGATCTCCAAACAAGAAAACGAAAAGAACAAACAGGGATTACATATAACCTCCTCCCTGGGGGACAGACAACAGAAAAGTGGGTGAAGGGAGACGCCGGACAGTGTAAGATATGACAAATAATAATTTATAAATTATCAAGGGTTCATGAGGGAGGAGGGAGTGGGGAGGGAGGGGAAAAAGGAGGAGCTGATGCCAGGGGCTTAAGTGGAGAGCAAATGTTTTGAGAATGATGAGGGCAATGAATGTACAAACGTGCTTTATACAATCGATATATGTATGGATTGAGATAAGAGTTGTATGAGCCCCCAATACAATGATTAAAAAAAAAAAGAATAATGGATTAGCTTACAAGGGCAAGAAATGGAGACGAATACCAGGCTTCTGCTATTCCTAAGCTAGGGCACTAAATGAGAAGTAAGCAGTCCCTCTAATTGGTTATAACAGCTACTTACTGCCATGGAGTCATTGCTGACTCGACCCCTGTGGGTTTCTGAGACTGTAACTGTTACCAGAGCAGAAAGCCCAGTCTTTCTCCCACTGAGCTGCTGGTGGTTTTGAACTGGCAGCCACGTGGATCGCAGCCCAATGTGTAATCACTACACAGGGGTCCTCAAACTTTTTAAACAGGGGACCAGTTCATTGTCCCTGAGACCATTGGAGGGCCAGACTATAGTTTTTTTAAAAAAAAAACTATGAGCAAATTCCTATGCACACTGCACATATCTTATTTTGAAGTAAAAAACCAAAAAGGACAAAACCCCCCGGTGGGCTGGATTAATGTCTCAGCGGGCTGCATGGGGCCCGGGGGCCATAGTTTGAGGACCCCTGCACTACACCATCTGGGCTCCTGATAACAGCCGTTACAGTTACTGAATTTATACCTTGGACCAGACACTATGCCAGGGACTATTTAGAAACACCTCTTCAAATAATCACAATAAGTGTAGGTACATCATTTATAAATGATCACCGCCATTTATAATAGCTTAAACTGAGGTTTAAAAAGGTCATATCATTTTCCAGTCACATAATTTAGCAAGTGGCAGAACCGGACTTGGAGCCCAGGCTGTTTGACCCCTGGTGCTGTGCTGCTTCCGCAGTAACTCTTCAAGGGCCAAAGGCAGCCCCACACCAAGCCGCTGCAATGAGTGAGTGCCTGCAGTTAGGTGATGAGAATTCACAGGAACGAAGACGGAAGTAATCACCCTGCTGCAACATGCAAGTCCAGACTGGCCTTGGCTCTCACTGACTTCTTCAGCCACTCTCCCCAGACCCGCACCTCAGACATATGAACAAAAACTTTCTCCACCGTTGTCTTAGAAAAAGGAGCAAGGATGTTTTAAAACTGATGATGGCAACACATGTACAGAGGTGCTTGACACAATGGATGAATGGATGGATTGTGATAAGAGCTGTAAGAACACCCAATAAAGTGACTTTTTAAAAAGAGAGATCAAAGGAAAGTGGGAAAAAGAAAAGAAAAAGATTTCTGAAAAAGACTTGTCACCAATTATCAGCCAAAACCAAACCTGTTCCCATGAAGCTGATTCGGACACAATGCCTCTATGGAACAGAGCAGAGCTTCCCCATAGGGCTTCGACACTGTAATCTCAACAGAGGCAGACCACAGCTTTCTCCCATGGAAGGGGCTTCTGGGTTTGAACCACCAACCTCTGGGTTAGCAACCAAGCAATTAACCACAATGCCACCAGGCCTTCTTAGCTAAGGGAGAGGTACAAGGAATGAGAAGTAGGGAAGCAAAGGGGACACGCCTAATCCAAAAGCTACACCAAACAACAAAGTTTAAAGTCAGTTTTTCACTCACTAGGCAAGACACCATAGTAGGCGTAGAATGATAAGTATAGTGCCAAGTGCATGTACAATTTAGAAGCCCAAGCTCTTATAATACCTCTAACCACCTATGTAACCCAAGGAAGTAATTTGACTTCTCTGAGCCGTTTCCTCTCTGCTTGTCCAGGATGACACTATCACCTCGCCCACAGGGCTGCTGAGAGGACCGATGAAATGGTGTATGGAGGATATCTGCACACCATGCAGTGCTGACCCTCTACCAGACATGGACATTTAGGCACCCAAACACTACACCTGTTGCCCACAGTACGAAGCAGGGTACAAAGATACTCAATGCAACCCTCCCCCTTCTCATGTCCTCTCTGCTCCAAACAATTTGTGCCAAGGACAAGCCAGCATAGGCCAGACATATCTACCTGTGCCAGGGGCGTGTTGGCAAGAGCCCCACAGGCTCCCTTCTCATAACTCTGATCCTTCTGTTTAATCAATCCGATCTCACAGACCTTCATTTCCAGGAACGATTTAAATTTGGAGGCCCCCGAAAAATGGCATTAACAGGGATACAGGTCAGAGAAATCTGTCACCTGTACTAAATGGCCTTCTCCCACCATCTAGGTCTCACCTCATGGGACCATTCTCCAAACTCCCCCTTCCCCTGCCACACACACACACACTCCTTTCTCTCTACAAGCACACCTAACCCAAGTTCCTTCTAAACCTAATGAACACACACACACTCCTTTCTCTCTACAAGCACACCTAACCCAAGCTCCTTCTAATCCTAATGAACACACACACACACACACACACACACACACACACACACTCCTTTCTCTCTACAAGCACACCTAACCCAAGCTCCTTCTAATCCTAATGAACACACACACACACACTCCTTTCTCTCTACAAGCACACCTAACCCAAGCTCCTTCTACACACACACACACACACACACACACACACTCCTTTCTCTCCACAAGTACACCTAACCCAAGCTCCTTCTAAACCTAAGGAACAAACAGTGAACGCCTATCCTGTGCCAGATCCTAGGATGGGCACCGCGCGTGGTCAGCTACCAGGACCCGATCCCTGCCCCAGGGACCAAGTCCGGGCCCCAGTCGCAGTCCCTGGCCAGGCCCGGCCCACCCCTCACCGTAGCAGGTCCTGCAGCACCGTCGCCAGCCCCAGCGGGACGCTGCCCTTGCGCTGAAAGGCCTCCTGCAAGTCTCGCAGACGCAGGCGCACCACCCCCTGGCGGCGGCTGTGGCTCAGCACCAACGGCGCCCAGAAGCCCATCTTGCTGTCCCAGTCGGTGCTGTTCACCTCGCGACTCCTCTTGAAGGCAGAGAACAAGAAGGACATGCGCTCTTCGTCCTCCTCCCATTCGGGGGGCAGTAGGCCCGCCGGGTCTCTCCCGGCCGGGGCCTCGGCCTCCCGCTCCGGGGACCACATCGGAACCCCAGCCCCGCCAAAGCTCCAAACACAACCCCTGCCCTGGTTCCCTTCCGCCCTCGGCCCCTCCCGGCTTCCGTTCTTTGACCACCTCCTCCTCGGGCATCACGTCACAGCCGCCCGCGCGTAGCCTGTCCTGCGCACCCTCTCTGCGCATGCGTCGCGCGCCCTTCCGTTCCGCGGAAGGCGCGATGATGACGTCATTGTCAGGGAGACCATGGTCTTTGTGAGGATAGAAGGTCTTCTCGCATGCGCGGCTGGGAGGCGTGCTTTTCGCCGCACTTGAAATCATAGAGTTTAGCTCGAAGCTTTATAGAGAGGCCAGGAATGATGCCACTAACTCGGAGTGGTTTCAGATAGAGCGCCTGCACAAATCCCAGCGGAGAGGCGTCCGCATCAGCTGGATGGATCTCCAGGCTCCCATCGTGGTTTACCAGGAATTCTTCAGACATGTAAACTTCCAAATGTGCCTTTTATAGACATGTCGTCAGATAAACAACTCTAAGTCACTTAATAAGCCCATGGTTGTGTATACACTGATATGAGAGATGTGTAAGCTTCCACCATTCTTGCCACCCATTCTCCCATCCTCCCTGTGATATCAATATCCTGATGTGTGTAATTCAGTGTATTCATAGGGAACTCGTAGGGAACGTAAAGCACAGAGTACAAGTACCCCGTAGGGTTTCCTGCGGTGTAATCTTTACAGGTCGTTTTGGGTTGGAATCGACAGAAGGGCAATGAGGCCAATCTCTAGGACCCCATTGCCAAACCTGATCTGCAAGGGGATTCCACCTTTCCCTGCCCCGCTCCACCTGTGCTTAGCACGGAACACTTGAGCATTGTCCAACCAGAGCACCATACCAATATCCTAGATCCATAAAACCCTAGTTCAACTTGAACTCTTACATAAAACCCTCTCTGACTGTTTGGCCCATCATTAATCTCTTTTATGAATGACACATTTTAAGAGACTGGAAGGAGCACTATCCTTGCCCCTGTCAGATGGATCTTGGCTCAAAGCAGAGGCTATCAGAAAGATGTTTACTTGTGTTTTATTGACTATGCAAAGGCCTGTGTGGATCACAATGAACTATGGATAACAACCCAAAGAATGGGAATTCCAGAGCACCTCATTGTGCTCATTTGGAACCTGCCCATGCACCTGTCAAGGCAGTCGTTCGAACACATCAAAGGGATACTGCATGGCTTAAAATCAGGTAAGGTCTCAGGGTTGTACTCTTCCACCATACCTATTCAATTGGCACACAGACAAATAGTATGAGAAGTTGGACCATATGGAGATTGTACCATCAGAATTGGAGGAAGGATCATTAATAGCCTGTGATACATAGATGACCCAACCTTGTTTGCTGCAAGTAAAGCGAACTTGAAGCACTTCTTGATGAATTTCAAAGACTGCAGTAATCAATATGGATTATAGCACAGCATAAAGAAAACCAAAATCTTCACCACTAGACCAAAAGATACCATCGTGATAAATGGTGGGCAGATGGGGGTTGCTCAGGATTTCACTTTACTTGGGCTCACAATTAACATTCATGGAAGCAGCAGTCAAGAAAACAAATGATGTCTTGCACTGGGTGAATCTTCTGCACAAAACCCCTTCAAAGTCTGAAAGAGCAAAGCAGTCACTTTGAGGGCTAAGGTGCCCCGGACCCAAGCCTGGCCTATTCAGTCACCTCATATGCATGTGAAAACTATATGCATGTGAAAATTAGACCATGACGAAGGAAGACGTCAGAATAATTGATGCGTTTGGAGTATGGTGCTGGCAAAGAATATTGAAAGTCCTGTGGACTGTCAGAAAAACAAACAAATCCAAGGGAACAGCAAGTGATCCAAATCGGTGGTGAGGAGGGTGTAGGAGGTCTGGTAGGGCGTGACCAAGAGTAATGTAACCGAGAGGAATTACTGTAACCCAAATGAAGGCTGAGCATGATAGTGGGACAAAAGGAAATAGAGGAAAAAGCTAGGAGGCAAAGGGCATTTATAGAGGTCAAAATAAAGGCATGTACATATGTAAATATATATGAGGATGTGGAAATAAACCTATGTGCATATATGTATAGGTTTAGTATTAAGGTAGCAGATGGACATTCGGCCTCCACTCAAGTACTCCCTCAATGCAAGAATACTTTGTTCTATTAAACTGGCATTTCATGATGCTCACCTTCCTGACACAATCGCTGAAGACAAAGTGGGCGCATAAGAAAATGTGATGAAGAAAGCTGATGGTGCCCAGCTATCAAAAGATATAGCATCTGGTATCTTAAAGGCTTGAAGGTAAACAAGTGGCTGTCTAGCTCAGAAGCAACAAAGCCCACATGGGCGAAGCACACCAGCTTGTGTGACGAGCCAGTCAGGGTGCAGTGTAGCAATGATGAAACATACAACTTTCCTTTATTTCCTAAAGGCTTCCTCCCCTCCCCTCCCCCCCCAATCATGATCCCAATTCTACCTTACGTATCTGGCTAGACCAGAGGATGTACACTGGTACAGATAGGAACTGGAAACACAGGGTATCCAGGGTGGATGATCCCTTCAGGACCAGTGGTGAGAGTGGCGATACCAGGAGGGTGGAGAGAGGCTGGCGTGTAAAGGGGGAACCAATTACAAGAATCTACATATAACCTCCCCCCTGGGGGATGGACAACAGAAAAGTGGGTGAAGGGAGACGTCAGACAGTGTAAGACACAACAAAATAATAATCTATAAATTATCAAGGGTTCATGAGGGAGGGGAAGCAGGGAGGGAGGGAGGGGGAAAATGAAGGGCTGATGCCAGGGGCTTAAGTGGAGAGCAAATGTTTTGAGAATGATGAGGGCAATGAATGTACAGATGTGCTTTACACAATTGATGTATGTACGGATTGTGATAAGAGTTGTATGAGCCCCTAATAAAATGATTTTAAAAAATAGAAAAGAAAAACAAACCAATCTCGGAGGAAGTACAGCCAGAATATGTCTGAGAACCAAGAATGGTGAGATTTCATCTCAAGTCCTTTGGTGGACATAATATCAGAATTCTTACCCACAGATTCTGTGTCCAATAAATAATAGTTTTATCCCACCAAGTTTTGTGATAATCTGTTCTACCAGATTAGGGTAATAGCAAATATGTGCCACATATACTGCCATGATCAGTCCTCTACACATGATAGACATTGCTTATCAATGATTGCACACTTTCCTACAAAGCCTCAACATACCATTAACATACTTCCTTGTCTAGCCATAGCACATCAATATGTTGTGCAAGAGACTCGTGGGTGCAGAGGGCCGCCCTGAGAGGAAGTCTTTCAAAGCTGAGATCTGAAGGCTAGAAAGGACCGAGCCACGCATGGAATAGTGGGGAAAAGGTTGCAGGTGAAGGGCCATGACCAGACTCATGAATCTTCCCATCAGGAACGACTCTCCCAGTAAGACACCATTGCAGTAGCATACATTCCCCAAGGACATAGGCAGGTTTCAGTTATTTTTGTTCTTGTGTCAAACACAAGACACCAACCCTTAGATAAAGCTCAACCTTTTTTTACACAATGAATGGATTGAGATGACTTGGCTTGGCTTTCACCTTTATTCCTTCATAGTGGAGGCAAGCCCCACCCCCACCCCCCTGAATTCCTTCTCAGGGAATGAAAGCTTTCTAACTCTAAATACAGACATTGTGCTTGGTAAAGTAGTGGGGCAGCGAAAAAGAGGAAGACCTTTGACAAGATGGATTGACACAGTGGCTGTATCCCATGTGGGAATGACGCTGAGACTCTTTAGCACGGAGGAGCTCAGCCAGAGTTAGTCTACCCGGACCCCATAACAAAATGAGGGGCTTTAAAGAACAGGAAGTGATTCTGCCTGTTCTGGAGGTGAGAGGTCCAAATTCAGACTCTCAACAGCGCTGTGCTTTCTGTCTGTCAAGCGGAAGCTCTATCCTGGTCTCGTTCCATTTCTAGCCCATAGACAGACCTACCCTTGCTGTCCTTTCTCCTGTGGGACTCATTTGTATCTCTTCTCTCCTTTTATAAGATACCTCTCGGTGGGATAAGGAAGGACTGATCATTGTCTTAGGGGTGCTGGGGTGAAAGACCACATATGTTCTAGAGAGACCCCTTTATTTAACCTTAAAGAGAACAAAGATAATTCTTCGGATGAAGGAAGTCACCAGCGTGCCCAAGGTACAAAGGCCAAATGAATTCAGCCGAGTCGCACTCATGGGGCTCATTGTATGGGACAGAAAGAAAGAAATGATCACAGAATCATAATTTGTGGCAGGTCAACTCATGACTGTCACAGGTAGGACTACAGATGTCAAGAAAGGACCATGATTAGGAAATGTACACAATTGTACATTTTATTTTATTAAAAGACCATTTTATTGGGAGCTCTTAAAATTCTTATTACAATCCATACATCAGTTGTATTAGGCATATTTGTACACATGTTGCCATCATTCTTTTCTAGACAGTTACTTTCTCTTGAGCCCTTGGTATCAATTTCTCTTTTTCCCCTCCCCTCCCCACTCTCATGACCCCTTGAGAGATTATAAATTATTATTTTCATATCTCACAGCAACAGCAGTCTCCCTTCTCTCACGGTTTCTGTTGTTCTTCCCCCTGGAGGGGTGTGTGTGTTTGTGGTTTGATCCTTATCAACAGTTCCCCCTTCCTCCCATTCTCCCTACCCTTCTGGTATCGCTACTCCCGTTCCTGCTTCTGGATTACATGTGTCATGAGCTCTGATCTCTTATCTACACCTGTGCACATGCTCCGGTCTAATCCAAAGTGAGAGACAGCACTGGGGTCATGATATTGGGGGGTGAGGAAGTCTCAAGGAGCCAAAGGAATATTGTGTTTCATCGGTGCTTTACTGCGCCCCAATTGACTCATCCCTTCCCTGTGACCCCTCTGTGGGGCGATGTTCCATTGTCTACAGATGGGCTTTGTGTCTCTGCTCCAACCCCCTCCTTCTCAACAATATATTTTTGTTTGTTTGTTTGTTTGTTAAG